TTATATACTTTTATTATTATTTACGCATTTATAACGACACCGCCAAAGTGTAGAAGCACCAAATCAGAGGTACCAACGAACGTCTCAAACGTCGTTATCACTGGTTTCGCATACTAGACTTTTCTAACTGCGGTATTCCAAAGTCCTGTCTCCGACCTAGGAAATTCACTTCAAACGATTTTCAGCTACCTGAGGTATTCACTTACAGCGAGTTTCACCGGTGCTAGTATTATATAATTCACAGATAACACAATTAAATATAAAAATAAAATTTATAAAGAAAAATATATTTATGTGTATGTGTGTGGATCGGTCGGTGGCGGCAATATATATAATAATAATAATAATAAAAATAATAAAGATAATAATAAAAAGAATATTGTGGCATTTCAGGCCGCAACAACGTCTATTATAATCATTCATAGATCAATATAAATTAAATAACTATGTATGTAAATCATCATCAACATTTGCTTTGCAGTTATTTCTACAGTTAGGAAGAGGATCTGATGTTTGAGCCAAGATTTGTTTCCCTTTATTTGTAGTATACTCTAATCCAAGGTTTCTTTTTTCTTTCTAATTGCACTGATATCTTCTATATTATTACTGTACAATTCTTCAGTAATATGGTTTTATTCAGGTGTGCCTATCACAGAACTTAATCCTCAATCCGAATCTAGCATATTATTTATTTGAAATATGTTACTTAATTTAGGTGTACCAACACTTTGCTCATCTAGAATCATGTTTGCACAAATTACTTTCTCTTGGTAAATTTCACCATTGAAAAAATCTTTATCCTAGAATATGTCATTTTTGAAATACAATTAATAATCAAAAATATATTATACATATATTATTTATTATGTTATTATGTATGATTATAATATAAAAATAATAATTTAAGAATAAAATAGTGATGGAAAATTAAATTATCATTTGTGAAAGATTTTTTAGCCTATTAATAGTTAAATAACAATTTGTATTTAATATTAGTACCCATAAACTATTTTAATATTAATACATAAAAATAAAATAAAATAAAACAATGATATTAAAAGAGGTACCTTTTATTTAAATATTAATCAACCTGATATATTCAACCCATATTATCAATGTCCTTAAATAATGCTTAGGTTAACCAGACGCGTTCTACACGATTAACAAACGCGCGGAAACAAAAAAGGCAAAACCCACTCGCGTAGATAAAAAAACTGGTGAAAAACAGGCTATGTCTATCGGCGGGCGGCTGCCTCCGTGAGACCGCTACGGCTACGGCTGAGGACCGAATCCGCGCAAAAGCGCACATGGACGGAACGAAAAAAACATGCTCTTCGCGACAGAATCGATAACACGACCGAAAAGGTCTTTAAAGTCCGGAAAATCGAAAAAAAAACCTAATAACAGTAAATTCGACGGCCGATAACAATAACGACCGTTGGCGGCGGAAGGTAACGACGGTCAGACATATACATATAATTACAATACAATATAATTTTGTTTTTATTTTTATTTATTTTTTTTTTAACATAAACAATAATATATTAATGTGATTGATAGAAATCTAATATCATTGTTTTTTGATACTCAAAAGTCTGAATAAATATTAATGTAGTTAGGTACTGTGATTACGAAAATAATGACAATAACAATTTGGACTCGAGGTGAATTTTGTGAACACATATTATTCACTACATATTAGAAATGTATACATATATACAGCAATGATAATTGCAAAATTACGTGTGTATATCTACACCTTTCTAACGTTTGGTATGCTTTTTTCTTTCCTATAATGCATTTATCCCGTTGTATACTTAATACATGTACAATTTCCCCTTTAGGGCAACATTGTCCGCGATCCGACGCGGTCGGATTGCCTGTCTGGCAGGTTTAAATGCGTTTATCTGAATTTTTACTGACTTAAACTTTTTTACGTACCGGACTGCAGACCAATTTTGGCGTTAAAATATATAATATATACCAGATGATGACTGATAGCTAGACCCTCAATTACCGTTTTCGGAGTTTATTTATTTTAGATATGAGAAAAGTACCGGGCAAGCTACGGGAAATGCATCCAATTGCCCAAACAACCTTGGAGATGACTGATACCTAGACACTCAATTGCCGTTTTCCGAATGTATTTATTTATTTTCTCCATACACAAAAGCACAGGGCAAGCTACGGGACAAGGTGCGTGATACCTGTGAATTTAATGAAATGATCGACCACTAGACGCTCGAATTGGACTTTTATATATACTTTTATTATTACTTACGCGTTTAAATTTAAAACGACACCGCCAAAGTGTTGAGCCACCAAATCAGAGGTACCAACGTCTCAAACGTCGTTATCACTGGTTTCGCCTACTAGACTTTTCTAACTGCGGTATTCCAAAGTCCTGTCTCCGACCTAGGAAATTAACTTCAAACGATTTTCAGCTACCTAGGGTATTCACATACAGCGAGTTTCACCGGTGCTAGTATTAAATAAAATACATATTATAATTAAATTAAACAATATTACATAATATGCCAATAATACAGAAAATTCTCGATTTTTGATACTGACCAAATTGGTTTTTATAATTGCCCATTTTAATTTAGAACTACCCATTAGCGCAAGCTCTGTTTAATATCGACAGACGATAAAATGAACATTTTATAATAATTTATACAGTGTTTCACGATGAACTGACAATTGCAATTACTTTGGTTCTATTAAACATTTTCAACTTTTTTTTTTTTTTAAGTTAAATTTCTTTACGCAGGGTAGTGAGGAAAAAAAAAAAGCGAACAGGCGGCCGTACGAACGCAAACACGGACATGTCGTTGTGCGCAGCCGCGGATTGTCATAGCTGTATTTTGTAAACGACTATGGGTTGTGTCATTAAGCGACAGTATTTTTGGTTGGGTTATTAAACAAAGAATACTCAACAATAATATTAATGAGATAAATATTTAGATAAAAACGGAATGATCGTCCGAGATGATTTCATACGGTCGTCGGGGCGGCGGTGTGAAGCGTATCAGTACGTCATATACATAATATCACATAATAATAATAATATTACGTATTATAAATTATAATGTTGGACGGTGACGGCTGATGCGGTTTCGACGACGACGACGACGACGATGATAATAATAATACCATACACGCGCAGTTGCGACTTGCGATTAAAGGTCTAGGTCATGCGGCGAGCCGGTTTTTCGATTGTCGGGTGGGTTGAAGTGGCGGTGGAGGCGGCGGCCCGCGTTCCCGTGGTGGCTAAGTTGTACACGTATCCACTATCCAGTCAGTGTGCTTTTAGCCATTGTTATTAATATAATAATATTGTTATTAAGTAATAAGTAGTTCCTATTTTAAATTTTAATGGTTACTTCGATTTTTGTACGTACTACCATTGATTATACATACTATAGATTGCTCACTGGCCGGTTTTTCGGTGGCGTACAATAAAACCCTCGGTAGATGGCGATAAGAACCAACAATACTAAAGGCCCCCATACACGTCAAACAAATTTGCGCAACCTCTGTGTTTGTGCAAACATTTTGAGCGTGTATGGCGTGGTTTGAGTAGTTGCGCAACCGTTTGAAAAAAATTGGTCGAGTTCGAAATTTGTTGCGCAAACGCTTCACGATTGACTATCTGTTGTACGTGTATGGCAGTGTTTGACAAGCATAGGCTGTCAAAAACCTCCAGACGATTGGAAAAACGTATGAAATAGGTAATTATTAATTATTATACTTACTTTACTAGTAATAATAATTAATATATTATAATTATAATACATTTACTGATTTACTTATGCCTGTATAACTTGTTTTTATATTATTATTATATTTTATTTTTATTATAGAATTCACTAAATATAAAATTTAGTTTTATAACTATGGCGACTAAAATTGATGACAATAAGACATTTTGGCTTGAATTTATCGCCCTTTATCAAACGTTTCCTGAATTGTGGAAAGTTAAAAGTGAAGTCTATAAAAATAGAATCAAGAAAGATGCGGCGTACGAAAAACTGGTCGAGAAAATGAAAGAAATTGATCCGAAAGCGAATAGGGACTTAGTGCGTGCCAAAATAAATTCTCTTCGTACATCATACCGTAGAGAATTGAAGAAAGTTAAGTCCAGTCAAAAATCAGGTGCAGGGGCTGATGATATTTATGAACCGAGTTTGTGGTATTACTATGAAATCGATTTTTTAAGAGACCAAGAGACTCAATTGCAAGGAACTTCCACATTAGACAGTATTGATGAAATTGTCGATGTAGTCGAGGAAAACAACGATGAAGCGGTAAGCATAATATCATATTGTACTCCACTGTCGATGGCCTCGGTCTGTGACTATTTTTAGTACTTATATTTTCCTTAAAGTGACAATGGTCTATTTTTAGTGATTATAATAACAAATGATTAGAATAGATTAAATAAATAGTACGTGACTGTACTAATAATATTATTAAAATAGAATTATAATAGATATTTTGTTGCTAAGTTTCAAATTAGTATCGTAAAATTCTGTTGAATATAAATAAATGCTGGTATAAACTATTATATAGGGTACTAGTTATAGCATAATATATTAATTCATGTATAATAATCAATAATCTATAAATAACAATAATATATTATAATATTTACTTATAATTTATATAATAAACATATATTATACTGTCGTAAATGGTCGTTGGTCGCTCTGTGTTGTATATTTTGACGTATTAATACATCAAGTAAAATGATTATAATTTGAATTTTATATAGGATAAAAAAAACAAAGCATTTTTTTTTTTTGTATTTTGGTTTAACCGTTTATTGTTTATAGGGAATTAAAAAACATTTAAAAATCGTGTAACAAATTGATAAATAGAGAAATAATAATAATAAAAAAAAAATGAATTATTACACAAAACCTATTAATATTTATATTAACGGGTGGAGCCCTATACAACAATTTAAAACATAGAACAATGATATATATAAATAGCTACTTTATGCTCTCGTTCTGCCATGGTACAGCTCCTTGTTCACTATTGAAAAAGTGTGAGAAATTTAGGCGTATTTCTTTTGCCGATACAGTGGTATTTCGCCCTGAAAGTTGTTGTAGAGGAAGTAACAATCGATCTGATTTCCAGTCTGCGTTTACCATCTCTCCTGTAATTGTATTTTCAACATCAAAACCTCCTTGGTAGTATGACTCGACTTTTTTCATTCGTAAATAATTGTGTAAATGAGTGCATGCTAGAACAATCAGAGAGGCTTTTTCTGGGCACAAATTAATTTCTTTTAACAATATACGGAACCGGGATGATAATATTCCGAATGCATTTTCCACAATACGTCTAGCACGAGATAACCTATAATTGAATATAGCTTGTTCTGTGGTCAGTTTTTTTCTACTAAATGGTTTCATTAAGTTGTCCATAAGAGGAAATGCATCATCTCCTACCAAAACATATGGCTGTTTTATTGCACTGTTAGGTAAATTATCAGGCTGAGGAATATATAGTTCGTTTTTTACAAGTCGCTTACAGAACTGGGTATTAGAAAACACTCCTGCGTCGGAGACTCTTCCATTGGCTCCAACATCTACCATTATAAATTCGTAATTAGCATTCACAATTGCCATTAAGACAATGCTAAATGATTGTTTGTAATTGAAATAATAAGAGCCTGTTCCTGGTGGTTTTCGGATGGTAATGTGTTTACCATCAATCGCGCCAATGCAATGTGGAAAGTTCCACCTTTTCTCAAATTCTTTTGCAATATCCTTCCAATCATTTTCATTTGTTGGTATCTTCAATTACAAAATATTATAATTATTATATTATATTATTATAAGTAGGGCTGGGAATTATATGTATTTATGAAACCAAAATATGTACATAAATATGTGCTAAAAAAATCAAAAAATGTATTTTACTAATATGATTTATATATTAATATTTAATTATATAATATAAGATTTATATACAGTGGCGTACGCAAGGGTAGGGTTCTAGGGTTCTGACCCCCCCTGAAATTTTTTTATTTAAAAAAATCTTATTTACCACCATTTCAATACACAGAGTCGATAAATTGTTGGTAATTTTTAATAGTCATAAATTAAATTATTAAATTATTATTCATTATAATTTGTTATAACTAATTATATAAAAACTATTAAGCAAATTATTTAAATTGATTATTATTATTTAAATTATTTACTTATGTAAAACCCTAACCGAACTAAAATCCTGCGTACACTACTGTTTATATACCATCTGAGTTTTTAATGAAACAAATTATATTTTAAATAGTAAAGTTTTTTAAAAAAAAAAAGGTATTAAAAATTATAAAATATAAATAAAAGCTAAAAATAAAATAAAAAAATTTGTATTTACATATAAATCCGAGCAGCCCTATTTATAAGTTAAATAAAGTTCAAATTTGAATTTAAGCCCTTTGATATTATATTATATTGTTTTAAGGTTGTGGAAGATAGCTTTTTATTTCAAACAATACCACAGAGTACACCGAATAAAAAATTTACACTCAAAAGAAAGGCACCCACAGACGAAGAAAGTAAAAGGTCTAAATTATTGGATATGGCTTGTCAACGTCTCCAAAAACCCACCTCCGATTCACAAGTCCTGGCAAAGGCGTGGGGCATAGAATTTGACAAAATGAAAGCAGACCAGCAATTATACGCAAAAAAATTCATTGACGACATTATTTATGAAGGACGACTGGGCAATCTCCACAGAAACTCTATTACCATTAATCATTCACCTGTACCAATCACTACACATTTAACAGGTCACATTCAGCATCCATACTATTATAGCCCATCTTCATTGTCTTCACATTATTCTGGACCACCCTCTCCATACTTACAATCATATACACCTAGTCCACAACAACAACCACATACATTGCAAAATTCAACAGTTCCAGTCACACCTCAACCATCCACACTAGATGGATATACAATTAATGATCTTCTCAACGATAACCAGTATCAATGAATATTTAATCTTGTATAATATATTTATAATTATTATTATAAATTAATAATTAACAAGTAATAATATAATTATACTATACATGTAATAATTTCATAACAGTTAAAACAATAAATATCAATAATAATTACATAATATTTACCTTTATATAACCTTTTAAAACGTGAATCAAAGCTTCGCAGGTCTCAACAATTATTTTTCCAAGAGTTTGAGCTGCGATGGCAGTCTGGAATTTCAGCTCTTCAAAGGAGTCGCCGCTTACAAGGTATCTCAAAGTAGACAATAGTCTTTGTTCTGCCGTAATTGGGTCCCTCATATATGTACATTGTTTTTCAATTAAAGGTCTTATCTTTTCCAATAGCTCACCAAACGTATCTGCATCCATTCGTAGATAATTTTTATAATCAACGGCTGAACTTATTTTAAGTTCTGCTACTAAGCGATCATGGCTAAATTGATCCCTCTTCTTTAGCCATACTTTCATCCACACCCTATGTTTTCTTTTCCGCTTTACTTTTTTCTTTTCCGTCAAACAAGCAATCACTACCGCAGCACAAGTATCATCGGTGTCAGACATATTAATATATTTTTGTAGAATATTTTATACTGAATATATTTTGACGACATCAAAAATTGAACTGAAGTTGGCACAAGCCATTGGAACGTGTGTGTTCGAAATTTGTACAAACATCGTATTTGCACAAAAACAGAGGTTGCGCAAATTTGTTTGACGTGTATGGGGGCCTTAATAAATTTGTATTTTATAACAGCCGCCGTAACTATGGTGGAGCGCGGTGCGGTATAACTGGTTTTATCGTCGCTCGTCATGATATCGACGTCTCCCGAGTCCGACTTCGACATTACTATTTTAATTTTATTTCGAATGATGAATGATTTACAAAATCATTTACTCAACACTGTGCCACTCTGCGTTGGGTCTACAACGACCCGTGATACGGGCAATATTATTTATTTTTGCTATTGTTAGGTACCGATCGATGTTCACCTAACTGGTTTTATCGTCATCATGACGTCAGATTACCCTAATTTATATTTACTTTTATTTTGAATGATTTGGTGGGTGTGGCGCTGGGAAAAACGGACTATGACGTACACGATACGGATTACGGGCTAGTGGTATATTATAATATGTTTGACCAATTCGTATTTTATTGTATATCTTTTTATTAAAAACAAAGAAAACAATATTTTAGTACAGTTAAAGCACGAAAATGTATGGAATGTAATTATATAAATTCGTGTAATTTAACTTGTTAACAAATTAAATTTGAAATAATATTACGATTAATTGTTTTAATTGTATATTATCTAATAAAAACACTGGTGACTTACATTTTTCTTCAAATTTGTTCTTATGTAGCCATTTCTAAAACTTAGTATCTACGATTTATTAATATTATTATATATTTCACTACATATAATGATTAGGTATGTAAATGTAAGCATAATTAATGAGCATAATTTTTAACTTTTTGTTTAATCCATGAATAATAATAATATTAATATAATTATATAATTATAATTATTTATTTTGTAAGACACGTAACTTGTCTGCAATCTGTAATCTTTACTTAATTTGCAATTTCTACTTTGCATTCCTTAAATATTTTTGTTCTAAACAATAAATCAGTATGTACATATAATGACAGTGGCATTTTGAATTTAGTAAGTTAATATATTTTATTAATCTGTATTAATGCTTTTCTTTTAATTGGTGTAAAAGTTTAGCAATACGTAAT